TTTGCTACCAAACATGTCACATATGTCCACTGTAAGCCTACAAACCCATGTAATTGTGCCGGTTACCAATTGTAGTGTTCTACAAGCTCTCCTTTGCAGCTCCAATCTACCCACCTCGTCTGTTCCTCCCTCCTACTCAACAGTGACTACATGGCCCCAAAGGCCTTGCAAGACCACAGAGATTATGGAGGTGCAGATTACTCACAAAGTCATGGTGTCTGGTGCTCCCCGACGAGGACTTTGAGCTGGCCCAAGAGGGCAGCCACCCGAGCCCACCCTATGGTGGACGTGATTGTCGCTGGACACTCCGCCTTTTGAGACAGAGCCCTCGGTAGCGTCCTGTCTTCACCATTCCGACAATTTCCGGGAGAGTACGCCATACCATTCAGCTAACAACGCTGTCCGAGTCCAGTAGGGAGCTGGAAGAGCGGGATTGCCCAGAAGTTGGTGACGTCGAGTTGGCGCAACTTCAATACAATGCCGTGCCCTGCGCGTCGTAATCCTGAGCCATAATATGCAAGAATGAAGTGGTTACGTTTAGCTGTCGAGGAGATATTAGTCTCACTCAATTCTAAACGCACGCACATACCTGCATCAAAGCATGCCTATAAAAGGAGACCATGAGGCGGACGGGACGCGCAAGGAGTAGACCCTAATCGTAGGTTTACGGGTGTCCAGTCAGGCGGAGTCTGAACCTGTATTGGGACTTGTGCATCGCGCACGCGGTTTTGTCGATCGTGCTCGACATCCTCTGCCATGGCTCGCCCTCCTCGCGCTCGACAGACCCACAGGCCTGTGGGCTCGCGGCACTCTAAGGCAACAAATCTATCCTCGCACCTCCGCACTGCCGCTATCTTGCTTCTTGCAGATGCTCGAGACGACATGGAACGTTTCACCGCCCTTTCAGTCGCCCGTCTCGCGTTCCGACATCGGGAGAAGGAGAGGAGTAGGAAGTTTGGAGTACGGGGACCCTATAATCAGGTGAAAAGTGAGGACTTCTTTGAGATCATATTGCGTCTCTCTTCTATCCGATGGTTCAAATCGTGGCTCCGGTATGTTAGCATAATATATATTTTTCGAACCCCCCCTCAGTCCCCAGCCCTATCCAGAATGGATCGGGACGCCTTCTGGCACCTGCATGATCTTGTCAAGGACGACCCCGTATTCGTCAGTGCCGGAAAGAAGCCTCAACGGCCATCCTGGCTGCAGCTCGCCGTGTTTCTCTGCCACATGGGCAACGAGAGCGCTGTTAAGACGGCCTCGTTTGCTTCCGTCTCTGAAGGTGCTGTCTTTCTCTACACTGAACGTGTGTGTACTGCATTGCGCAATATCCGTAATCAACATATCTACTGGCCTGAAGACGACGAGCGCGAGCGATTCTCGGATGCCATGTCCGAGTGGGGATTCCCCGGTTGTCTTGGATCAGGAGATGGGACATACATTCGGTTGGAGAAGCGACCCTCACAAAATGGGTATGCGTACTGGTGCAGGAAGAAGATGTATGCGGTGAGTTATTTTCCTAGATATGGTTTCGGATCTTGAGCATTGACGGAAACAGATTGTTGTTCAAGCTACAGTTGACCATCGTGGCCGCTTCACGTCGTATGACTTTGGGTGGCCAGGTTCTGTGCAAGATAGTCGTGTATTCAAGTCATCGCACCTATGGTGCAACAAGGCTCAGTACTTCCGGAGTCATGAGTACATACTTGTCGACAAAGGTATGTTGTGTACGTCTCTTGATGTTTCTGTAGGCGCTTCAAGCTGAAACCTTCCTAGGCTATCCACTCACCAAATATTCCATTCGACCCTTCAACGATTATGATCTAACAACTGATCCATACGAGTCGCGCTGCCGCCGCCGCTTCAACCGTCGTTTATCTTCACTACGCATCTTCGTGGAGCACGCTTTTGGGTGTCTCAAAGGGCGATTCCCGATACTGAGGTCGATGTCGTGTCACGATGTAGACGAAGTATACAAGATTCTTGAGTCTCTGATGGTCATTCACAACATCTTGGAGCGCTTTCAAGATGATCCTGCTGATATCGAGGACTTCGATGACGAGGAGGATGAGGGTGTAGCTGAAGTACGAGGGGAGGCACCGGCACACCTAGGTGGTGAAAACTTAGATGGTGATTTGAGCAACGATGAACTTTATGCTACAGGATTGCTTCGGCGGAAGTGGCTCTTGAACCTTATGCGATCGGAACTATGATATCGAGCGTTTTGTGACCGTACTTCATGTACCTGACCATATGATTGATATTAGATGCATTCAACGTGATAACTAGACCTATCGGTCGTAGTGGTAGGCCTATCACTCCTCCTCCTCTTCCTCAGCCAGTTGCGCAATGAGCTTCAGCCCTCGCTCGCGAAGCTCGGGGACATCTGACTTGCTCATCTCAATTGCGCGGTTCCATTTCACCTCACGTGCCGCCTGCGCCTCTCGGCGCTCCTGCTGCCTCCGCATCTCACGCCTCTCTGCTCGCTCCTCCTCCTCGCGTGCCTCCCGTCGCTTTTCTAACTCGAGTCGTTCCTTGTCCAGTTGTTGTGCAATCTTGCTACGCTCTGATAGATCTCGGAAGGCCTCTTCAAGCAGCTCCTCGGCTTTGCTACTGCTCCCAGCATGCTCTTGCTTGGCACCCGGTGCGGCACGTTTTTTAGGCGACTCGAAGACAGGGTCAGAGGAGTTGATGATATGGACACGTTGGACTGCAGAATCGGAATGGGCACTAAATACCATGGTGAGCTTTACACAGATGACAAGTTGAGTGAGACATACACGGCATCAATGAGATCATAGAGCTTGGAATTGTAAAATTCGAGCAGAGTGTCGCTAGAAAACTTTCCTGCTGCCTTGAATGTGACATCAGAGAGTTGTTTTTGATGCTGGGAGCTGCCTGGAGGAGCTGCATCCAGACCACCTTGATGGACGGCATCTGGATCCCCTCCTCCGGTGTGCGGAAGCTGTGCTCGGATCGCCTTGTACTTCTTGAATGCATTGTTGTTCCAGTATCGTGCGATCTGTGCAGCGCTGACCCTTTCTCTGAACAGTGATTGTGCCATCTTGTACAAACATCAATCCCCATGTTTCGAAGTCTATAACCCAGCTTACCAGAACACAGAACCTATCAAGACTGGTTCGGATCTCTGCGTAGCGCTCTGGCGTGGTAAGCCACTCCACTGCATGTAGCTTCTCCTCGTCGTTAAGACCTTGCGAGCCTTCATCGTCACTACCCTCTGCGTCCAACTCTGCTCGACCCTTCCCTTCCCTCTGCTGATTTGCTGCCTTGAGTTGAGCTTGTGAGAGGCGGGGCTCAGCAGCGTGTTTGACAGCATCGGTGAGTCGTGCAATTTCATCATCCGAGACACCTGTGTCACGTCTATTATCTCCGGACTTACTACCTGCACCACTCTTTGGCTTTGCACGACCTCCCTCGCCTTTGCCCTTACCCTTCTTCCGCCCACGTGCTGGTGTCTTCTTTGTCTTCTTCTTCACCTTCTTCCTCGCCTTTCCCTTGCCTCTGTCCTCGTCACTGCTGTCTGACTCTGTACCGCTGTCCGACTCCTCACTAGCATCTTCGGGTGTTTCCTTCCGTGAGTTCCGCTTCCGGGAGGTCCTCGATTGTTCGTTATCCCACGCTGCAGCAGGGTCACCTTTCCAGGTGTCCCCCATAGCCGGTCCGAATTGGCCTGCAGGTGTGCTTCGATACAGCCCAGCCATATTGACAGGCATCTGACGAGGTCCATCATAGCCGTATAGGAGTGCAGCGCCTGTAGTAGATACTTATGTCATATCATGAGAACTTAGAAGCCGTATACGGTGCCAGCTTACCGAGATTACCTTCCATGTTCCCATGAATAGCGCCAGCAGTCGCTTGAAGGGCGGGGTTATTCAGCGCTCCAGGCGGCTGCCTAATGGGCGGAATACCGGGTCCCTGGTATTGGACAAAAGTACGCTGGGGTGGTGGAGGTTGCTGTGGCCAATGCTGAGGAAATAGGTTCAAGTTACGACGAGGTGCGATGTTTTCGTTGCCATTAGGGTAAGCCGGGAGTGCAGGAACATCTTGAGAGTGGGCAGCAGGTTTTACAGGAAAAGCGAAGTCCAGCTGAGGCTCTCCACGGGCATTCCGTGGAATATCGGGCATATTCCACTGGTCTGCCATAGTTCGCACCGACAACCAAGTCCATACGGTATACGGTGCAGCGCTACCGTTGCGAGTATATTGAAAGTCCGCCATCGAAAATACACATAATACATCAGAGGAGACTGTTTACGCCACATTGATCGTTGAGGTATGATTTCCTTTTATAGGCATGCACTAATGGAGGAGCGTACGTGTGTTTTAGAATTGAGTGAGACTATTGTCGTCCGAAGTTCCTTTGGGGGCGCTTAGGAGGGGAAAACAGGCAAATGCGCGAGACGCGGCGCGGCGCTCACACGACAAGCGAGCTGAAACCGGCTGTAGCATCTATCCACTTTGAGTATTCTCGCAAGCGTTGCTCGGTAGCATTCCAGTCCAACGCTTTGCCGATGGTCGTAACACAAGCCTCCCTCAATTCTCCCACTTTATTTTTTTCCTCTCCTTCTGAGCCGGCACCTGAATGGTGATGGACGATTGATGTGACCAGAGGCCCCTTCCAGAGCTACTCCCCCGCGCGAATATACCTCAGAAAAAACAGTACACCATGGCTAGAATACAAACTCAGCAACTGAGCTGAGGAGAGGTCAACGAGCAGCGGAACGACGACCGACGCTGTAGACTAAGCGAGGCGGGAGGGCGGGCGGGCGCTTGCTGCTTCAATAGGTGAGGTAGCCGAATGGCGCATCGATGGAGGGTCGCGTCGGGCTCATTCTCCTCCCCCAGCATGTGTCCGGTGAGGCTTCTACTCGTATTCTGGTAGATACACATCAAATGCATGTATGCTGTAAATTTCATGTAGTTCTGACTATGGGAACATGGGGAAAATGCAAAGCCTTACCATGAGGGCTCATGAGCGAGTAGGCGCTGGATGTAGTTCTGCTCGTGAAATGAGATATCTCGGGCAC